GGGTGGTGGGGGCGTTTCCGCCGCGGGTGGGCCCCTCTTTGCCGTTAAAGTTGTCACAGGCGAGGGGGGCTGTGTGTCACCTTCGTGAAGAGCTTTGGTCCTCTGTTGAACTTGCGTTGAGGTGCATTAAAAATTCACGTCGGGCGGGCTGCTAGCCTCTGTGCTGCTATAATATGGCTCCGTTCCTGGCTCCAGATACTGGGGATGCGACAGCAGAGAGCTCCGAATTCGGGTCGGCTCTGAGAAGGAGCTGATGCTAAGTGCGAGGCCACGTGCGGAACGGGTTAGTTCGTAAGTGATGCCATAAATTTGCACTAAATGCCTTGGATTTGTCATTATACCCTTCCTCCCCCACTCATCTTCCGCACCAGTAACAAAACTGAGAAACACGGTGATATTAAACCAATTTTAAAGGTATTATAACTGTGATTGAGCATTACTCGGATGGAGTGGTTGTACAGACAGTTATGTTGTTGTTATGGTTTTTGTATGTTGATGCCCCGTGAGGATCCATAGAAACTTAACAGATGAAAGGATAGGTCTCACTAAAACATTCTCTTTTGCTAATTTTCACAGTGTGGTACGATGGTTGTGAATCCAGTATGGTTACTGTTTTGTTGGTGATACCATTGTCCTGGTAGATTGATAGTCTGCTGAAAGTAGAAGCTCATTGTTTGGAACCAGTTAAGCAAAATACTAGCGGAGTGTGTTGTTTCATGAGAAAATGGTTGTTGGCTGCTGGTGCAATTCAGCACTGATGGACAAATGCAGTCCGGCATTAGGGGTGTACAAAACTCTGGTTGGGACCAGCTGGAATTTTATATGCAAGTCTGCTTACTTTTTTTTTTTTTAAAAGAACAACGAAATATAGTAAAAAGCTGTTCGCATGGGCAGCAGAGTGAAGAGTGGAAATCAGAAATGTGTAAGTGGTCTACCTAAGTGAAGCTGAAATGAAATAGTTACTGACTGTAAATGTAAAAGAAGGACAAGAACTGTTTAAGACGAGGGGCAGTGGTTGCAGAAAAGCAGGTGTAAAATACCTGGTTGGTCTGAATTTTGAATAGACTTCCTGTGATCAAGTTTTGCAGCAGCCTGTCAGGTAAGCGAGCAGGGTATAAAATTGCTACGCTAAAGCTTGGCTTGAAGTTTATGAAATACATTGCATCTTGCTAGCTGTAATAACATGGAGCTACGGTAGAGGACACACAAGCTCGCTCCTGTCCTTACTGTCTCAGAGTTTGGTATTAAGGCTGAGGAACGTGAACCTGGCCAGAGTTTGCTGCTGTGTGTTGGCACTGTCCTTTCCTACACCAATTCATTTTCTTCAGCAAGGTTTTGGGAAACACTCATGCTCTCTGAGAATGGACTGTGGGTGTTTTCTTTAATAGGTATAAAGTATACATTCAAAACCTACAGAAATATGTATATATAGACAGATATGTATAATGATATGTAACAATATCTAGTAATAATATTTTTCCTGTACTTATTAGCAACTGAAACTTGGTGTTTCAGTGTTACTGGTTTTCAAAACCCTTTCACTTGTACATGCTACAGATCTGTATTTTTATTTGCAGGTTCGAGTGGAAGGCTTTAACTACATTGGCATGGGCAATTCCACTAACAAGAAAGATGCACAGAGCAATGCTGCTCGAGACTTTATCAATTACTTGGTTCGGACGAATGAAATGAAAAGAGAAGAAATTCCTGCTTTTGGAGTAAGCTGCTCTTTCTCCTTACCAAAGGCTAATCTTTAATTGCAGTGCTGTGGATCTGGTTGCATTTCATCCCTGGAGTTCAGTCTGGCACCCGTGTGCAGTGAAGAAGACTAAATGTGCAAGACTTCTACTTGCAGTGCTGGAAAGCTGGAATACATACAGTGAATGTTGTAGGGTGATCTGGTAAAAACAGCTGCGTGTCGGTCTGCATAACTGGTGAGGCTGGGGAGAATTCAGAATTCCTGTAAGCTGCAGCCTGACTTTAAAAGTGCTGTGTACTCACACCTGACACTGGGGATTGTTTTAAATGCATGTTATGATACGTAATACCGTGTACTTAAAAAAAAAATAAAGTAAGAAATATCACAGGCATCTCAAACCAGACATTGAAAATTTGGCATTTTTTAAACTGTAGAGGCTTTCTGCTTTAGCTCCTCGTGTGTGTAACAGGATCACTGCTTTTTATGATGTTTTATGAACCGTGCAAGTATCAGCAGACTATCACATAAAAGCTGAGGAGGAGGGTAACTCTTATCTTTACAGCAATTTTAGAGAACGGTAAATAAAGTATGAAGCTACATGTTATACGCTGGGAGGGAAGAGTGTTTTTCTAGTGCTTCATTAAGGCTATATCTGTATAAGATACATAGTTTGATCAGTGGAAGCAGTGTCCCTGCCTCGTTAGCCTAGCTGAAGCCCAATGGTGACAGGACCTACGTTGTTTCTGATGGACCAGTTAGTTTCATGGCAATGCAATGTGCTGCATGGCTGGGTCCTAAACAGGGATAGCATGTTCTGTGCCTTGAATAAAGCAGAGGTGGTGTGATCAGTTAGCTAAACATACACCTCTCAAAATAGGAAGAATTCAAGTTTTAATGATTAACCATAATTTTGTCATTTCCTAAAGGTGTTAATGCTTTCTTACGGCTTTTTTTGTGTGTTTGTGTTCATAAAGTATATTTGAGTTCCCTTGGATATACAATAGGGACCAGTATCTGTTATTTTTCCCTGGGTGCTGAAGCAGTTCATATTATAATTGCTGAACTTCAGTAAGTCAGTTGGTTGGAAACCTTTTATAGAACACCCACAAAAAGCCAAATGTTCAGCAATTGTATTCCTTTCAGTTTTTGAAAGGGTGTTACTGTTGGAGGTTATTACTGGGGGTAACTATTGCATAATAATGCATGATCTCTTTAAACTGCCCGAACAGTTTTCTAGCGAAGTAGTAAAAAGACTTATTCTGTATGAATGCGCTGATATTTCCCTTCATTCTCTCTCCTAGCCAGCAGCTGGTGATACCACTGATGGACACGAAGCAGCTACAGATGTTTCTGGTTCTAGTTCTACTTTGGGTGGACCTCTTCCTCCACATTTGATTATAGAGGCTGAAATAGGTAAGACTGTGAAAAGTGTCATTTGCATGTATGTGGATGTAATATATGCATATAGATTTGGGTGGGTTTTTTTCTCCTAAATAACATAATTCTGCAGACAGAAGACAGTTAGAAGTCATTGTAGTTTTAAGGTAGAGGTGTGAATGACTGCATGAGATCTGAGGGACTGGTCATGTCCTGTTGAGGTTGCCAGGCAATACCTCTCCATTGCTAAGAATGTGTTTTTGGGGAGTTACTTTGTTTTTTGTTGTTTTTATTTTCCATGTGGTAGGCAATGGCCCAGGTGCAGCACCTGGAAACAGTGGCAGTCGTGGAGCTCAGTGGGACCGGGGTGCAAATTTGAAAGATTATTATTCAAGGAAAGAGGAGCAAGAAGTGCAGCCAGTAAGTCATTCTATGGAATTCTCCTTTAGTTCTTAAATAGGTATCTTTCACTCCCTTTAATTTGTTAGTAGCATTTGTAATCAAGCTTGCGGCTTTCATGATATTTTGCTGTTGGTTTTAACTTAAGCTGCAGATTTACTTGGTGACTTTAACAAAGGTAACTTGTTTAAGCTAAAAACAAAATAAATCAGTCTCGATACTGTAATATCTAATTGTTTGTATAGACATTTTGTTGTGAAAATAAGGAAATACTGAGAACTTTTTAGCATTTTCTGTAATGTCTTAATTATTTTATAGCATCTAGACAAGTTATTTTAAAGATTTGTTGTAAGAATGTTTAAAACTGAAATCTGTTAAAAACTAGTAAATGATACTTTTTTTTTTTTCAATATTAGACCTCAGAGTCAGAAGTGGACTTAAATGCTGATCTTCATGGGAGTTGGACCTTGGAAAATGCCAAGGCACGTCTGAACCAGTTTTTCCAAAAGGAGAAGATTCAGGAAGAATATAAATACACCGAAATGGGGCCTGATCACAACAGGTTTGGTAGTTTTAGTCACCTTCTGTGTATGAAGGGTTAGAAATTATTTGGGTGACAGTGGCTAATCACACTTATTTGCAGTGTTCCGTAGTGTCATTTGAGAAAGCAGTATTCTTTACCAGGACCAACAACATCCCTAAATCTTGAAATGGGGGTGATGAGCCTTGGTGCTGAGATCTGAGTGATTGAAAAAATTTCTGTCTGATGTTTTTTGTGGATGTGCAGCTTTTAGAATGATTGCTGTGCTCTAGCTAACTGTTGAGGTGTTGGTTTGAATGGAAAGAATGCTCAATTGCTTGCGGTGATTGTATGACTGTAGTTGCCTTTGTACATTTTGAGTAAATCTTAAATATGCTTACATTACTTGTGTAGAAATGTGCTTTAAGGACATTTTATTTATATTTTTCTTATAGTTAACTTTTTTGGCAGCAGAATCTTTGCTGGAAAAATTAGTTTGGCAGAATCTTCCCAAAGGAGTTTTGAGGGTCTTAAATTTCAGTTGAAACCAGCTGGATATTTCTCTTTTTTGAGTTTCTGCCCATTCCATCAGAAAATTTGCATGTGCTTCTCCCAGATGAAAATAACGCATAACAGATTGTGCATAAAGAATTGACAGTTTTTATTTTTTTTACCCATTTGGAGTAGTCTTTACAAATCATCAAAACTTCAGGACATTGTATTATTTCTTGTGAGATATAATTATGTTTTGTGGTCAGAAACAATGGCATGCTGCTGCTGCTGGATTCTTGTTGGGTTTGGGGGTTTTTTTTTGCATTATATAAACTTGTGTTTTATGAGAGTTATTATTTTTAGAAAGACAAGTGAATTTTCTTATTACAGTCTTCCATGAGAGTCTCACTTGCAGGACTTCTAGTATTCTTTTGTTGTTGAGTCTTACAAGCATTTAGAACATCTAAAATATGTGTATTGGTGTCAGAAAGTTCTAAATTCTCATTTAAAACCTATTCTCAAGTCACTTATGTTGTCAAGCAAGGACATTTCTTTCCCTTAAATGAGTGATATAAAAAATAGTTTGTACAGTACTAGGAACTTAAAATATGCTTTTTGCAGGTGTAGTTCTTGAGCACTTCGTTTATTCTCTAACTTGCAGATTATTTGTGCAGCTCATTTTGTTATGCCTTCTGCAGGTAAAAGCATTAGACCCCATGTATTTAAATGTATATAATCTTGAGTAGAATGAGGTGGCCGTAGATGACAGTATGTTTCTCAGCCTGCTTACTGTTCTTCTGCAGAGCAGTTCAGGGTTTCCTGTTTACTACATCCAGGAAAGTTTGTATGAATTGCCTTGGATGGAATGGCAGAAGGGGGAAGTAACTATCTGCTGCAGTGGATTGGATAGGCATGAAAAATCCTAATGTGTTCTAGCATTCATTGAGAGAGGGCAAACTATTGGATTTAATCCCTTTGGTATATAGAACAGGACAGGAATAATTTCAGATGTTTTTGGAGTTTTGAGGACAGTACTATAGTTTGGGTTGTTTTGTTTTGTTTTGTTTTATTTTAAGAAATACCAGTTGCCATGTATCTTACCAATCTTTTTTTTTTTTTTAAAGTAATGGTGTTTATAACAGAAATGTCAGCCTTGCTCTCAGAGTTTTTTAAAGGAGAAATGTATTTTTGTTGTCAATTAATTATAGTCACGCAGTGTAAGAACTTAGTAATAGCTGGAAAATTTGGATTTGGAAACTTTGTTTTAATTACTATGGGGGTTATAAATTGTAAAGGTAAACATGGCTTTCCTACTACACAAAGTATGAACTAAATATTAAGGGACGGGATATGGCTTTTCTCTTTTGGGATTCCATCAGTAGTGTGGGATACCTTTGCCTCCTTGTGTTCCTGCTGAAGATGGTAGCAGCGAGCGACACCCAAGACATATGCGTGTTCACACACGGGCTCCTGAGGCTGTGCTAAACAATCACATGGGTTTCTGCTGTGAACTGATTTCTGGTGTTGCTGTTCTCCCCTTAGGTGGAGGAGAATGAGATTGAATGCTGACTATAGGCCTGGCTGAGAAACATACTGTCATCGGTGCCTTAGTTGGCTGTTGTGTCCCTGAAAGCCAGTGGCCTTCGACCCATGAAGCCACTGTGCATGAAGGTCAGTTCACTGGTAGTACAGGAAGGAGTTCTAACTTGAAATTTAAATCCCTCACTTAACCTTTTTTGTCTGTTTACAGCAATAAATGAAGGACACAGATGCAAGGCTCTGCCTGCAGCAGCTGTGGAAGTACCAAGGCATAGTTTTCAAAGAGGATGTCAGTCTGATAAAGCCCAGTCATACATCTTGAATCACATTTGCCAGTTTAAATCCTGTCTTACAAGAATTCGGCTTTAATTTTCAACCTGTGCAAATACACACTTTGGTTTGTGATTCTTAAGAACATGGAACTTTGTTTTCCTTTATCCTCTGTTACATTAACATGCTATCTGCTTTATAATTGTTGCCTTGGACAACTCGGAGCATATTTCATAATAATGTGGCTTTAAATTTCAATGCTGAATGGTGGCATTTGCAGGACTCTTCTTAACCAGATCTACTGGTTCTATTGATGGCAAGCCTGTTACCTACTAACTTGGGGTTAAAGAGACTAAAAGCAATAACATTTTACCTTGCCCATTGATGAATTGAGAGTTTCTGACTGAGGACACAGAGACCTTTGCCTAGAAAAATTGGGAAGAGTGGATCTTTTTGCAGCGCCAGTGTCAGCTATTGATAATTGTACCTTTGTGTTCTTTCTTTTCTCTTACAGGAGCTTTATTGCAGAAATGAACATTTATGTGAAGCAGCTGGGCAGAAGTAAGTGTTCTATTTATTTTTTTATCTTAGCAAGAGATGGGTGTTGGTACAGAGGAGTAGGTCATACTCGTCGGTACAGACTTTTATAGGTATGTGTTGGAGCCACTTCCAGAGGTGAAGGTTCATGTTTGTTTCCTGACGTGAAATCTTGTGTGCTGTGCTTGTTGCGTTCTACTGCATGTCCATTACGTGCTTCCACTAATCTTTTTTTTCAGCACAAAGAAATGCTTGTGAGATATGGTAGGGTTTTTTTTGGTCTTAATTACTTGTTCTTCACATATCTGAGAAACGCAGGTGTCTAATATGTTCCCAGGCAATGGGCATGCTGTCCATACCATACCCATTTATGCAGAGCTTCCTGTGAAATTTGTATGATGTTGCTGAGTGGTGTAGGATAATCATACTTCCTTAGACACTGAATGCAGAGAAGACTTTACAGGAGTTCCCCAGGAAGTCAGTAAGTAACATTACACAGCTAGTGTGAGTCAGCTGATCAAGGGGCCTGGTTGGATTTTATGTTAGAACTCTGGATTTATCAAGATTTGATACTCCTTCCATGAAACCTAGCCTGTGTGACCAATTGGAAAGCCCATTTCAGAGTAGTATCTTTTGTGGAAGCTGTTTAACTCATTAGCTACTACAGCTCTGAACTTTGTGTGCTGCAGGGATTTTCAGTCGTGAGCATGGATCAAACAAAAAGCTGGCAGCACAGTCCTGTGCCCTTTCCTTGGTTAGACAGCTCTACCATCTTGGTGTCATAGAACCTTATTCTGGACAGACAAAGAAAAAAGAAGCAGAATCGGTGAGTTTGGTAGAAGGTTCAGAAATTGTTGCTTTCATTTTAATAATACAAGCACTCTCTTATATAAACATGAGTGAGTTAGAGTTTGCTCTCAATATTTGACAGCTTACAAGTTAATAATAATTTTGATTCTTTAGAACAGCAACTATTTCTGGTCTGGCCAGTGATTTGGATCAGAAATATAACTTTGTGTATACGTGAATGCAGCAGTAAACTAGTTTTATAGCCTATTAAATGAAATAGGGTTTGTAACAAGTGTTTTTTTCAGTATAAATTTTCTAGAAGCTTAAAGATTTCTGTTTATGCTACATGCAATTCTCGGCCATTTAGTTTCATTCTCTGGCACATTAGCATTTCTTTTGGTATTCAGTTACAAGTTTGGGAATGTTTCCCTCTGAAATTAAACTTAGATATTTAAAAAAATTCTACACATCCTTGTTGGATGAAAAGTCAGCAAAATGTTTCAAGAATGTGAATTTTGAACTGGTGGTAGTCTTTGGCCTTGTTTCACTAGGAACTATTTGATGGTTCAATATACTTTCTGGTAGCCTGCAGTTCTTGCTTCCATTGTCTGTCTTTTTGTGTATATCAACATGTAGTTTTTAAACATTTAACAGGTGGAACCCTATGAGGTGTTGCTGTCTTCTGACTTAGAAAATCAGCTGCAAAAGACTGTACGGGAACTGTCTCTGGAGATTGTGCCTTTGGTGAGTGTGTGGTTCAGATACTCCATTATTTAACATCAGGCCTGCTCATTTAATACATTTATCTTTCTTTGCCCACTTTGCTTTTGGATTTATAGCCTGAAGATGCCAGTAATCCAGTTCTGATTAATGTTGGAAAGTTGGCACATTTTGAACCATCGCAAAGACAAAGTCATATGGGAGTTGTTCCATGGTCACCACCTCACTGCAACTGGAACCCTTGGACTGGCTGCAATATCGATGAAGGTCCTCTGGCAAATGTAAGATAGCTTAAAAAATTGATTTGTTGTTTGTTTTCCCCATACTTCTGGAACTTTTAAATGCTTTAAATGCCCCAGGATTTAAAGTATGATCTATTCCAAAGGAGAATACAGTCCACTGATAAAATTTCTTCCCTTCTTGACTTGGAGGAAGGGAGTCTTTTCATTGGTAGGAGTTCTTTGTATTTACTTCATGTTTTGTTAGGGTCTTGAGCAGCAGTGTCTTGGATGTCCCAATTTTTTGCTTTGTTTCACTTTTTGCCTGCTATTGTGCAGCCTATACAATGTTCTAATTGAATGTACAAGGTAAGATTATGGGCATGTCATTTATAATTCGCTAGCCTCTCTTTCCCATATTTCCATGCTAGGACTTTCTTTTCTGGGAGAAGAAACTGCTCCAAGCCGGGGTCACTACACAATCAGCCTGCTTTCTTTTTTTGTCATTTCTAGTCCCATTCAACACAGAACAAATGAAAAGCAGCAATGTGGCGTGACAAAATGAGAAATAAGGGAAGAAATACTAGGTTGCCAAGTTCAGAGTCATAATTTCGCCACTGGTGTAACCTGTTCAGAAAAGACTCAAGGCAGGAACTTCAGTTTCCTACAACAGGGAACCAGAGTACTTATGACCAAAATAATAATTTAATACTTCTTTTGACTGTAGTGTTTTCCATAAATTACATTAAATTAACATCAATCACTATATATTGATTTAAAAAATATGGAACTGATGTAAATTTGAGTGTTGCTGCTGAAAACACATATGTACAAGCATTGCAGATTGAGCTGGCTTCAGATCTCATTAGGATTTCTGTGTGTTAGTCGTGGTGCAGCTAACTTATTTTCAGTAAAACAATTGGCCCTTTAGTACAAATTTGAATTGCTTTAGAATTCTTTCTTAGTGGAAATACAAGAGATACCTGATAAATTTCCCTCTCTGCTCACTTTTCCCTTTTCAGCTACTGTTCTGTGGGTGGTTATGTGCTTACATTATTTCATTCCTTACATTAAAAACTCCTGTCTGAATGATCATCTAAGTATCTCATTGGCTTACTGCTGAATAGAGTGTATTTCTCAAGCAGTTAAATTATTTAAATTTGAACAATCATTCTTTTTCAGTATTTTGGATCTTTCTGAGGAACTTCTTTGAGGATGGCCATTTAATTTTAACACCCTGGAATGAATGAAATAAAATAGCTCATAAGCATAACTGATTTCAGGGAGTTATGTAGGAAATGATCCTTTACTGATATTTGGAATCATTATGTTGGTGTGACTGATTTTATATTGAAGTTATAAAGATAAGCAGAGGGGTCAAAAAGCCTCTGAAAAATATCTTGTCTTCTCAGCTGACTCCAGAGCAAATAAGCATGGATTTAAAAAGTGATTTCATGTACCGTTTGGAGCAGGATCAAGAATTACAAAGGGTAAGTGCAGTTCCTGTGACATGGCACACTTGCGCTAGTCTTTTTCTTTTTCAAAAGAGGTTGAAAGTGTTATACAAACTGTGTAAGACTGGATTTCAGTAGTACTATGCACCAAGTTTTCAGAATTACTGAGTGTTATGCTGGAATGGATATGGGAATATGTTGCACTGTGTAGAACAAATCATAGTTTGTATTTTCTCCTTATGCAGTTTTTCCTTTGTGTAAGCGAAACCTCTGTAGAAGAGTGAGACAAAGTACGTATGTGGAGCAGAATAGGTTGATTTTTGGAGATTTTTGGAAATATGCTGGATTTTTTTCCAGATCCAACAAGAGAGACAGACTTTACCAGTGAAGAATTTTGAAAGTGAAATTCTGGATGCAATATGTCACAATTCTGTTGTTGTAATTCGTGGTGCCACTGGTTGTGGCAAAACCACACAAGTTCCACAGTACATCCTGGATGAATACATCAAAACCAACAGAGCTGCAGAGTGCAATATAGTAGTGACACAGGTGAGGAACATGTTACAAATGCAATCACTTAAGTTTTGGATCGCATGCTAGAAATCACCTATTGGGATGTGTTGAGAAGTCTGATTATTATTACGGGACATTGTTCATGACAGTATCTCCTCAGTAATACAAGTAGGAGAAGGCTCGACATCATGTGTATTTTCATTTGGAGCGTTACTCTTTCATGTATCTACAGTTGGGATAATCTGGCTTGTACCTTGCCCAGGTGAAAACTTTTTGGCAGACTGAGAGGAAATATTTGGCAAATGCCAGCTGGTGGTTCCCATGTATCCTTATATTCCTCCTCTGTAATTTTATGTGTAGAATTAACCATTTCAGAGGAAAAAAGCCTCCTCTTATAGATACTACTGTTTAATGACTACTCTGTAAAGAAATCTTAGGACAGGAGACCTATAGCTTTTATAATTTACTTTCTTGGGTTTAGTGATGTTCTGATAAACTTGCAAAACTTCATCATTAAGTTACAGAAAACTTTTTCATCCCTCAGCCTCGAAGGATTAGTGCAGTTTCTGTAGCAGAGCGTGTGTCATATGAGAGAGGAGAACAACCTGGGCAAAGCTGTGGATATAGTGTGCGATTTGAATCTGTGCTTCCTCGACCACATGCCAGTGTGATGTTCTGCACTGTAGGTCTGTACTGCTTTGTTTACATTTGGAGCTTATTAATTATGGGTCTGAATTTTTTGAGTTAGCAGCAAAAGCAGAAACATGGTTACCTTAAAAAATTTTTAGCAAATCTGTTTAAAAGACTAACAATTTTTTTTTTGGGGGGGGGGGGAAGAGTAAGTTTGCTGACATACTGTTGCGCAGAGAAAGATTAAGATAGTTGTTCAGAAGTATGATAATACAAGTCTAATACCATGTAGAAATAATATCCTGAAGAGATAAAATTGCCGTGTATTGATTGTCCTTAAAAGGTAGAAGCAGTATTGGGTGGGAAAGAAGAAAGAGTCTTTGTAATAGTAATACTTTATACCGTTCCCATCACTTGTACAGATGAAAGCATGGCAATTGGAGATGGGGCTGTAAAAGGTGCTGGGCAGCCTGCACACTTCTTGATTTTTAAACCAGTGAGACTGTTCTTGATGAAATGAGGCGGGGCAGGGGGAAGACTGAGCTGTTACCTACAGGAACATTTAACTGCTATATCTGTTTAAGGTGTTCTTCTGAGAAAGGTGGAGGCTGGGATCCGTGGCATTAGTCATGTTATTGTTGATGAGATCCATGAGAGAGACATTAATGTGAGTTAGCTGGTGATTACAATACTATTCCTCTCTGTGCTTCTGTTCTGTTTGGAAACTTTTGCATGTGTTCTTGCATAACAGTAAACATGTGAAAGGAAACTGCATTTTACTAATTGCCGTATATGTGAGTTTTCCATCTTTGATAAGATTTTTAGAAACTCTTCTCTTAATTACTCCTTACCTGGTTAGAAGAGCCCTATCTCTTTTTTCTTCCTGTTAGGATCTCCTATATCCTGATCCTCTGGAAAATAGAACACCACAGTACAAGCACGTCTTGTCCAAATGTGGGAGCATGCTGAATGTCATTTTTATTTTGGAGTGCTTTTTCTACTGACAATGTTGTATTACTGTAATGGAACAGCAGTGATATTTACAGAAGCTGTGATCTTGATAGTGGTACATTTAAATTTGGTTTTGACATGAAGAAAAATGCAATAAGTTGACAATAGAATTAGGGGAGGGATTGTATGTAATTCAAGAAATGGGAAATGTTTTCTGTCCCCTTGATTCTTACGTATATTTTTCAGCTTTGCCACACCAAGAGTGAGAGAAGCTGCTAAGTTCTGACATGATGTTTAAGCTTGTTTTGATGGAATTTGGGGACTCATTTGGATGGAATTATAATGCAGATTTTTCTGATGCATCTCTTCATCTATTAAGTTTATGTTAATGATGTAAAATACAAGTTTTGAATTTTGAATGAAATTGGAATTTTATATGTTGAACTAAGGGCTTGCCTAACTGCATGGCAAACGTAAATAAATGTCATGTTTAAACAGAACTATAAAACTTTGGATACAACTGCACTGAGTTATTCCTATTTATTTTATGAACTCTGGCTACTTTATATGTAAACCAAGTTTAAAAAGACCTTAGGTTGTAATTTTTAATTTAATAATTTTTAGGAAGGAGGTAAACTATTTTTGAATGCTTTTCTTTAGTTTGTTTCATTCTGATAAAAGAATAACCCTTCTTTACACTGGAAATCCTAAAATTCACTTATCCCAGGAGTTGCAGTATTTTCAAAATAAAGCACTGACAACTGTTTCTGGTTATAGAATATTGTTGTGATAATTGTTAATTCTCTTGCCCAGCAAAGCTCCTGCTCAATAATTGTATATGTCTCTAATTCTTTCTGGTTTCTTGGGAATATGTTGCTTCTTATGGGAAGGAAATTAATGATGCTCTTATTCTCTTTGTATGCAGACTGACTTTCTCTTGGTGGTGCTGAGAGATGTAGTTCAGGCATATCCTGAAATCAGGGTTATCCTCATGTCTGCCACCATCGATACTAGTATGTTTTGTGAATACTTCTTCAACTGTCCTATCATTGAGGTCTTTGGTAGAACTTACCCTGTCCAAGGTAAGTCATTGATTGAACTTTCAGGAACTGCTTTAGTTTTTATTTTATTGGTCATATGCTTTAAGATTATGTGTACAGCAAGATACACGTTTCTTTTGGATTGTCATATCTTACAGATGTGGCTTACCTTGGGCAAAGAAGTCAGTAACACTGAATCATTTCACAGCACCATTTGGTTTAAAAACAAAACCAAACAAATAAACAATACTACTCCCCACCCCCTCAAAAACCCCCAACAAACCAACCACACAACACAAAACCCCACCACCCTAAAACATTACCACTTGGGGTAGTTTCCATTGCAGAATGAGATAGTAATAGCCAAGCTGTGGTGTTTCAGATCAGTTGTCTGTGACATTAGGAATAATGGAAATAGCTTTAGATGAGCGAGTGTTAAAAACAAACAAACCAGTAAAAAATTATGTAGAACTATATTGAACAGAGGAATAATCATTGGAATAGTATGGGAGTAATTCTCATACCCTAGCTGACAGCCAAGGATTTTTCTCCAATCTTGGCTTCGTACTCTGAAACGTCATGATTATATTGGGAGAATCTCGAGAGATGATAAAAAGAATAGTGTTCCCTTACACAGGCTTCTAGTAGTCAGTCTTGATAATCAGTGCTTCTCTGTCCTTGCAGATTATTTTCTGGAAGATTGCATTCAAATGACTCAGTTCATTCCTCCACCAAAGGAAAAGAAGAAGAAAGAGAAGGATGAAGAAAATGGTGAAGATGATGATGTATGTTTGACTTTTTTAATATGAAAAATTAAACAAGTGCCAGTTAGGACTCTGTCTCAAGCAGTGTTGTTGATCCTAAACATTTTTAGCAGCTTTTGTATTTTTAATACCCGAGATTGCTGTTAACTTCAGAAATAGAATTGAATTTTCTCATTGCCCTTGTAAACTGAAGGATTTTTTTTGTTGTTGAAGCTAAAATTCTCATGTTTTCTCAGCCTACTTCTCTTTAAGGATAGAACTGTAATGCTTTTAAAAGTGAAAAGATTGATGACCTTTGAAGAAGAAGTAGATACAGAAATATGAGCTTGGTGATACCTTTTCAGGGTGAAAATTTAGATTCTCTCCCTTCTTCTCTTGCAGTTGATAATTGTTAATGCTTACATACATTGTCAAGAAACTGGCTTTCGCGATACAGCTTTTAATTTGTAGGTCTGAAACTACTGTTTATGTCAGGTTTTTAAATTTAAAAAAAATGACCAGTTTTTCTTGGGAGAAGCATTTTCTTCTTTGTATGGCATCATCCCCATTCAGCTAAACAGAAGTTAAATCAATTCAATAGCTTTCTGCTGCAAATTTGTATTGAGTTATAACTCAATGCAATGGAATTATGATTCAATTCTTATATTAGAAAGCTGGGGAAGCAGGACTTAAACTGCTTATTGTGAGTCATTCTGCAAGCTGTGCCTGAGATGGTCTTCCCTATCAACTATCCATGTATCTCATTTTCCTATTTGCCTGGCCAGCGAGTCACCACAGTTTGAGTAAATTAATTTATATGATTTCTTTTGTGGTATTTCTTTTTCTGTAGGCCAATTGCAACCTTATTTGCAGTGAAGAATATGGCCCAGAAACAAAGCACTCCATGGCTCAGCTGAATGAGAAAGAAACTTCTTTTGAACTCATTGAGGCCCTGCTGATTTATATCAAGACTCTGAATGTCCCAGGAGCAGTACTTGTTTTCTTGCCTGGCTGGAACTTGATATATACAATGCAGAAGCATCTAGAAATGAATCCACGCTTTGGTACAAGCAACTGTGTTCTGTTATGTGTCATCTTTTCCAAAGGAAGCTATTGACACTGTAAAGATGAGAGTTGGATGAGTGGCTTAGGGAGCTGGATTTGTCATGAGAATGAATGGGTAGAAATGATTATGTTGTGCAAAGAAGAAATGAGATTCACATAGTAGTAGTTACCGACCTTCTTGTATTCATGTTGTAGGAGGCCGCCAGTATAGAATTTTACCTCTGCATTCGCAAATTCCTCTGGAGGAACAACGTCGAGTGTTTGATCCTGTGCCTCCTGGAGTAACAAAAGTAGGAGAGCCTTCTCTCTGTGGAGTGTAACACGCTTTGTTCTGTTGTGCTTTTGTGGAATGTATTGCTGACCCTTTTTTTATAGAAGTTATGTAGTTTATCTTGCAGTCCATCCTTAACTTTTCCAGACCAAATATATTTCAATATGCGTTTCCTGTTTTTTATAGGTTATTTTATCTACAAGCATTGCTGAGACTAGCATTACCATCAATGATGTGGTCTATGTTATAGACTCCTGCAAGTGAGTTCATGAAGTAGCTTTTTGTTTTGTAAATCCTGTTCTTTGGAATGCAAAAAAGGTTTTCTGAACACACAGAACTGCCTTGTGTTCCCATAGTCACAGAGCTGAATTTGTGGACTCTAACTCACTCAAGACAAATTTGCATTGTCTTTAGCTGTTCAGCACAGTTACAAACCACACTGGCATTTCAGTGGGCTGGTTTTGGTCAGCTGCATTCACGCTGGCACTATTCACGTGAGGTGTCGCTGGGTCTCCATGCGTATTTGAAATATGTCGTTTGCCAGATGAATATTACAAACACTCAGTGTATAGCTAATGGAAAAGAGGAAGATTTTTGTAGTCTGTTATGGATCCTGTCTTGCTATACATGTTCTCTGAGCAAATTACACATAGGGATCTCATTAATTGCTTGAGAATTTTAAGCTTTTGAGACAGTTGTGAAAACTTCATTCTGTGTATATCTTGGGGCACTGCTTTATAAAGAGAATGATACTTCAGCTTCTAGATAGCTGCCTAACTAGCCAAAGCTTAGCTAGTCAAACAGGGGTTGTTTGCTTCTTAAAAGCAGTGTGGCTGCAAGGAATAAAACAAGAACTGATTTGGCAGGACTTAACATCTGATCTCAGGTGGTTTTTTTTCTGTAACAGGCAAAAAGTGAAGCTGTTTACTGCTCATAATAACATGACAAACTACGCCACAGTCTGGGCGTCAAAAACTAATTTGGAGCAGCGGAAGGGAAGAGCTGGACGCGTGCGTGCTGGATTTTGTTTCCATTTGTGCAGCAGAGCTCGCTTTGAAAGGTGAGGCTGTGCTCTTTAGAAATAAAATAACCTCAGAGACTTCTCCCAGAATGGTTGTATGCTACTTCTGGTCAAACTGGGGAAATAACTTCAGAAAGCACAGAGAGGAGATGCATGAAGTCAGTTCACACTGGAATACCTCAGTTGTTCTGCTTAAAAAAAAATTACATATGTTTATATGCTTTTACCCGCAGTATGAAGTGGATAAATCGCTCATGATTTTATTATTAAGAATGTCATTGCAACCTACCGAACCTCTCAGGAGAAAAATAATGCTTGGGAATTGAGGCAAGGCAGAAGACAGCTTTGTAACAAGGATAAGGCTCTAGTCTGCCTTCAAACCTTGTGGGCACCTGGCATGTTCACATAACAGGCAATTTTGTCATGAAAGTGGTAAAAAGCAGGGAAGACAGATGTTACTTTTCCCTCCATCTCCATTCTGTGGCCAGGAAGCCCCTTCATGCTGTTCTAGCACCTTTCCTGCTGCTGAAACTTTTGACCTCTTCTATCTGCCAAGCTGTTTCTCAGTTACTAGAGCCATGGAAATCTTTCTGCTGGTTGCAGAAGTCTACACAGCTGTTACACTCAGTGTTTGATCTCTCTCATGAAAGTTTCAGTGCCCCTTTCTCAGCCATTACAATATAGCTGTGTTTTTGATGTTCAACTTTTTGTAATGTCTGAAAGCATCAGTCGATCAAAAACTTTCCCTAAATTGCTCAAACTTATTTAGATCTGCTGTCTAGTACAGTGGAGTGATTGTAATTAAGAATTTTTGACAGTGAACTGATTTTAGGCTACTGAAATAATCATGGGACTTAATGACTTTAAGGTTACCTTCCTTCAAAGAATATAAAACCAAAATATACTAGCTCCATGGTGTCTAGGAAAGAAAGAGTGTTTGTGGACTTGTGCAGATAATGTTTTGAGAGATACCATCTAAATCTGTTGCCAGCTGAATCTGGATATCTGTTCAAGGTGTTTTGAAACCTTTTCTAGCTGTCTGTCGCTCAGTGCAGTCATTCCTACGAGTTCATATTTCAACCAGCAAGCTAAAGGATCGCTAACGATACTGTGCTAAGACTTAAGAGCTCTATCTGTTTCTATCAGGTCTTTTTCCTACCAGAAAAACACCTTTGGAAAGCATCCAGCAAAAATACTTACTCTTCTTAGTGATCAAACCAGAAACATGCAGGAGGAGTTGGGTGGTTTGGAGCTGATAAAAGGACAAGTAGAGAAGTGTTTGTACGTACGTCACGCTGAAAGCAGGTTGTCTGTCTCGGGAGTGGAAGACCTTCTGTAGCAATGTAGGAGATGATTGTAAAGGGGCAAGTGTGGGGCTGGACACAGCCATGCTGCAAATGGGGCTTCAGCCATGCAGACTCTGTATGTGGTCAGCTCATGCTAGAAACCATGCTGGGTAGTGGTGATGTGAGGGCTATACCCTCTGTGCATTTCCATTGTAAATTTACACTGTGATGAGAATTGAGAAGCATGGGAGATAAATACTGGTAGAAGAGCTTTTTTGTTCTCTTCTCATTACAGACTTCAAACTCATATGACACCTGAAATGTTTCGAACACCACTTCATGAAATTGCTTTGAGCATCAAATTGCTGCGGCTGGGAGGGATTGGTCAATTTTTGGCCAAAGCAATAGAACCACCACCTTTGGATGCAGTGATTGAAGCAGAACGCACACTAAAAGGTATCGTTGTTTGTCCACAAGATTGCATGTAATAAAGCTGACTTCAAGTGATTTCCCATGTATAATGATCACTTACAGACTGTTTTAACATCTCTGGTTAGATTGTTTGTGTAGTAGCATGCTGTCTGAAACAGCAAGGTGTTTCCTGGATGCATCGTGTGGGTGGCAGTGTCTTTTGCAGCTGAATACTTGAATTCCCAAGTGGAGTGTCATTCCTTTAAGAAACTTGAGCCTTCAAACTTGAGGCTTGTTTTGTTATTTTACCAGTAACTTATGCTAGCTTTCAGCTTCCTGTTTTCCAGCTGTGGCACTGCTGTTTGTGACATAGACTCAGTCCAGTGCCTAAGGCATTTACAAAACAACTGTAAAAGAAATACTGAAAAAGAGAGGTTAGTAGTTTATTGTATAATTACTGCTTTGTACAGCTTGTTGACCCAAGATCTCAGTATTTTCTCAAGTAATTAAATCTCCAGTTAATGAATATGCAAGCATCAGTATCCTCCTAAAACAGGAGAAACTCATGTGGGGGTTAAGCTGTCTCCCCAGCTTCTTAAAGGAACTAACTAGAATATGAGTAAAATGAGGCAGGGAGGAACCCTAAATTTATTCTTTAGATTTAAAGCAGTGATCTCAAACCTCAGCAGACTTTGCAAATGTCACTAAATAAGCACTTCTTAAAATTTCTAAGAACTGAATTATCTGTTTGTTGATTTTTATGAAAAAATTGCATGATGAGCCTACTTTGCTTGTATACAGAAGGGAGACCACAATGAATAACACAGCTAGGGATATGTATTCAGGTTTAATGACTTTCTGATCTAAAACTTGTTAGTGATTTTCTCACACTGCGGATAAGAAATGCAAAGCCAGGGGAAAAGGCAAATGTTTTCAGCTTTAACACCAAATAGATGTTTCTGCATGTGCCTTCATTTCCTGGATGACCTGTAATTTGTTTCAGCATATGTATACTATTAGTATGTTTTTAGGATGGTGAGACATTTCTTCAAAATACTCTTTAGGCTTTTGAGTTCAATAGATGCCAAGAAAAATGGATTTGATAGTGGCTAAGGAGTCCTTTATTAGTTCACTTTCCCATTTAATGCTGAGGCTACAAAGCTGGGTTTTTCAAATGTAAAGCTTTTAGTTATGCTGAAGTTTCCCAAAGTAGTCTGTAAATAGAGTACGTGAACTATAAGTTTGCATTTTTCATTTATATCTTAAAAGGGGTTTTGAAGATCACACTTGTATTGGTTTTCTTTATCGTGCAAACTTAAAAATAGTTTTATGAAGTCAACTTCAATGGTTATGGCCAAACTGCTAGAAAGATAAGGAGACTCATGAGACCCTTCAGTCCATACAGCAAACAGCCACAGATACTTGTTTGACTTTATTATTGACAGTGGTTTAATAGCTTTGAGGATGAGCTCAGGTGATAATTTTTAGGTAACAGAAGGAGAGAAAGGCAGGCAAAGCCTCATGGAAGAGAGAGTTTGTGGTGTTCTCTTTTTGATGAACAGAGGGTTCTGTGATTTGGCATTGCAATGAAGGCTACAGTTGGCTGTGGTGGGGCTGCTTTGATTTTCGTGAAGCAGAAATTACGTTAGATTAATTAGATCAAATATAGGGACTTGAAAAAAGTTTAATAGTGTAGTAGTGGTTTGTACAGAAGCAAACTAAAAAGAAATGGAAAAATATGTATGTGAATTAAATAGTAATTATTTTAATTTTGGAGGAGGTAGTAAAACGTCTGTAAAGCTAAAGTAAAATTTGTTTATTTGATTTCAGACCAGTTTTGAAAATCAGGTTGGCAATATTGTAAACAACATTAAACTTAAATATAGGTGAGGTTCTATTTAAACACAGTTATTAAAATTCTGAACTTCTTATCTAAGGGTTTCTGGGATTACCTAACCATCTTTGCTAGTAAAAGATCTTGTTTCAGAGCTTGATGCCCTGGATTCCAATGATGAGTTGACACCTCTTGGAAGAATCCTAGCCAAACTTCCCATTGAACCTCGTCTGGGCAAGATGATGATAATGGGCTGTATTTTTTAGTAAGTTTAGTAGTCTCAATGGTCTTTTTCTTGTCTCTCTGAATTCCTGAGACTCTAGACATGCACTCTACAAGAGAAAAAACAATGCATCTAGATGAGCAATAAATGCTACAACTGGGGATAGGAAACTGAATATTCATGAGAGCAAAGGATAAATAACTTGGAGTATAGGGAATAAAGTAGTCATGAAATTCACAGTTAACTGCAAGGGACCAGTAGAGGCTGATTACTTATGAATTAAGAGTGGGACTCTAAATACTTAAGGTAGCAGTGAGCTGGAGGTGGGGATATGTGAAATTTGACACCTAGACAAGAAGAAAAATGAATCCACATGTTTTGCTTTAGCAGAAGTAAAGATCTGTTATTTGTAATAGTGATGGCCGTAGGCTCCTTTTCACCAGAAGATGGTGTATGGATGGAGGGAAGGGGCGGGAAGATAGACAAAGGGCTTGTGAACACCTGCTGTTGTGAAAGTACTGGAATTGGAGCTAATTTAACATCCACTTCCAGGGAAGTGTTTCTGTGAAGAACTCTGGTAGATAAGGGCAAATTTACTAAGGTCTCTAGCAGAGAAGTTTTTACTGGTATCAACAGCCTGTAGTAGCTACTGGCAGCAATACTGTGAATAAACCCAATCCTGATACTTTTTGTTGTTTCTTTCAGCGTGGGAGATGCCATTTGTACCATCTCTGCGGCCACTTGTTTCCCTGAACCTTTCATCAGTGAAGGCAAACGCCTTGGTTATGTCCACAGGAATTTTGCTGGGAACAGGTTTTCAGATCATGTTGCTTTGCTTTCCGTCTTCCAAGCCTGGGATGATGCAAGGTATGTTGTCTTGGCACAAAGTTTGATTAGAAGTTATGGGTAACACAGGGTGAGCAGTTTTGTGACCAGATTAGATATGTCAATGGATGCTATGACAGCTAGACTGTCGCACTTTTCCTTTTCTTGAGCAGACTTCTAATTCACTGTGTTTGTTTTTTAGAATGGGTGGTGAAGAAGCAGAAAAAAGATTTTGTGAACACAAAAGACTCAGCATGGCTACTCTTAGAATGACTTGGGAAGCAAAAGTCCAGCTGAAAGATATACTTATTAATTCTGGCTTCCCTGAAGGTGATTCTGCTTGGACATAGTAATTTAATGATTGCATTTTTCATTCTGAGATGAGAAATAAATAAACAAGATAATCTATGATGAACACACAAGCACAGAGGCCTGTAGTGGATTTGCCATAAAGCTGTTGTGCTTTTACAGCTGTATTCAGATGAAATTTTAGTGCTGTCTCATTCTCTCGTAGTTATCTAAACCAGAGAAGTTGTGATGGTGGTGGTGCAATATAGGGAGGCTCTGGGGGCTGAGGTTAGGGCTGCAGGATTAAAAATCTTTTAAGCAATTGTCCTTAGAGAATTACCTCCCTGATTTTCTTTCTCCTTCACTTGTTGCATCTCCAAAATGTGCCGTGCTGTGCTTCCCCACTCCTTTTCATTAGCCTTAGCGGGGAGTCTCTGTGATCTAAACAGTGTGCTATGTGCCCTATGATTTTCTGGGTTTGTGCTGCAGGAGGGATGTGCAGTAGTGCGACATATTCAATTTTCTAAGGGGGGTAGGGGGGTGGAAATCTTAAAGTTGACCAGGTTCTGAATTTGCCTAATGTTCCTGAAGAGCTTGCTCAGTTAAATGGTATGGATGGATGGATTCAGCAGATGTTTATCTCCCCTCCTTTTTTTTTTTTTTTTTTTTAAATTCCTTTACTTTTTTTCTCATAATGCTGCTAGCATCATTGCTGCATTTATCCTTAACTTTATTTCTGGGCAAGATGACCTGAAAACAAGCCACCAGAGACTCTGGGGAGGTTTGTAACAAATAAACCAATGAAAACATCCATTCTTACCTCCCCCAAAAGATCTGTCTCCAAAACAAATGATGGTAAACACACTGTGGTACAGCACATTCTGGGCAAGCTCCTCTCTCCTTGTTTTTGAAGAGCTTGGGAGAGAAAAATATCTCTTTGTAGTAGTATTTTTCAGCTTTTTGCTCTCCATGAATAAATTGAAAATTGCATGTAGAACTGAAATGCTTTAAGTGCAGAGGTCATTTGAGAACAGACGCACATCTACCAGTTGACTGAATCAGAAAATGCATTGATCCAGGATCCTAAACAACTCTGCTGTGCTGTCCTGCAAGACCCGTGGATGTGAGCCAGTCTTCTGTTCTCTGTCAACAGAATGTTTGATGACTCAGCCGTTTAACAACACTGGACCAGATAATAATCTGGATGTTGTAATCTCCCTGCTTGCTTTTGGGGTCTACCCCAATGTCTGCTACCACAAGGAGAAGAGGAAAATTCTTACCACTGAGGGGCACAATGCACTCATCCACAAATCATCTGTCAACTGCCCTTTCAGCAGCCAGGACATCAAGTATCCATCACCTTTTTTCATTTTTGGAGAAAAGGTAAAGACTTTGAATTTGTTCTTGATCATGTGCTGCCAGGTTGTCTAAGAGGTTCTTTTTGGTAAAGAAGTGATAAGAAGAAAACCTACACTGTGCAATATTTAGCTTGTTTTTTGGGTTGGGGGTGTGTGTGTGTGTGTGTTTGTTGATCCTTCCCACTCCCCCCACCCTCCCGAAAGTGAACCTTATGTGGTCATGGTGTCACTCAGCCTTCCAGTAACTGCCAGTGAACCAAATTCAGCAGAAGATGAGCTGCATAGAAAGGTCCTGTGAGTTTTGTGAAAACAGCCAGCTCATAGAGAAAGATCTAAATTATTATCTTCTTTAAGATATTGCTTTAGGAGCTCTTCCATACTAATTAGGCACTAGAGAATTTTTGCTCTTGTCACTTCTCCTACTTATGAATACAGAGAGAAAACAGGAACATATAATACGGCAGTGGGGTGCTCCCTTTCTGGCATGTAGGTAGTTTGTCACCTCCCAAGGACAACTCCCATTTCCCAAGCATCTCATAAAAACGCTGAGATGTTTTCCCCAGGATCCCTGTGACCTTTTCCTCCATCCCATTAATTTTGTGTACTCCGCACATAGCGTATATGTACACTTAAACCCTTGTGTGCTCTCCTGTGCTCCAGTGATGGCCATTGTGAATGCAATGGCTCCTGCTCACCCGTCTTTCAAGGAGCAAAGGAAGGCAATGCCTTTGTGTAGGATGTAGCCGTGAGATGGTCCTCGGGCTGCCAGCCTGCTTGTGCTACCTGTGCACAATTACTCCAGCACAGCAATGGGGAGGCCCTGAAGCACTCTGCCGCCTGTTGTTGAAACCAGCTGTGCACAACACTGTGCCTTCCTTCTGCCTGGGAAGTGCTGTGAAGATGTTTTTGAGAATAAGCATCGAATTAGCAAGGCCTCTTGCTCTAAGGAGAGCCTCTAAAGATCTTATAGCAGAGTGATGCTGTAGGGGTTTCTTTTTTGTCACCTTGTCTACACTGGTTAGTTCAGAATTACAGTTTATTTATGCCGATTTTTATATCCTCAGTCTTTTTTGCTGACATGCAACTTATTGTAGTAATGGCAGATAAACCACTTCATTGGTAATAAATGGAATTTTTGACTCTGGGCACTGGTGTGGGACTCGGCTTGGTACTCGGATTTCCACACACATAGTTCAGAGCTGTGGTGAGGCTTCACCTCTTCTTCACCATTTATGACAGGATCCCAAGTGGGTCAGTCAGACCTTTGATCTGCCTCGACCATCCCCTAAAAACACCAAAAGGCTTTTGAACTCAAAAAGCTATGCTTTATTAAATCAAAATACACATGGGAAACTAAGAGTTACTAAGGTGGTGGCTTAAGAGTGGCTAAGACAGCACGTGGGTGAGACTGGGGTGAAGGAAGGATTTATATGCAGCTCTCTCCCTACCCATTATTTACATGCTAAAAGAAAATTTCTCTCTGAGGTCTGGTGATATGTTTCCTGCTGCATTTGGCAGTCTCTCTCTGACCTGCAAGTTCCCTGCTCTTTGCACTAGCCATTTTTCTGCCACAATTCCTATTCTGGAAGTTTCTCTCTTTTGAGCCTGTGTGGTAACTTCCACGCAGGAGCAAATCTCCCTGAGGACAAACAAGTGCAACAGATTCTGCCTGTCACACTCCTGTGTGAAAGAAAGGAGGGAGAGAGGCAGCTGTCAGGGTGGGAGGCTGAAATCCCAAGTACTGCTCTTCTGTCCCTCTTCAGAATGAAGGGCAGTAGCCCACGTAGTCAGTGCTGTTATCTGGCTCAGGTCAGACAGCTTGTTATTGTCTAAGCTTTTGCTTCAAGTACAAGCTTAAGGTCTTGTTTCTGTAAAATGACAAAGCGGGCTGCTTGCGCAGACGTGTAGCAACTTCCGCATTTGTGTGTGTAGGACCCTACTAAAGAAGCAACGAGCTTTTCATCACAGCCTCAGCAATGCAGAAGGTGGGAAGGTAATTCAGCTATGCCTTGGTCGTTTTTAGGTCGGCAAAGTGGTCATGGATGATGGTTGGACTTGATGATCTTGAAGGTCTTTTCCAACCTAAATGGTTCTATGATTCTAAAGCATAAGGTGGCTCTTGCAAAATATCAGCTATGTAATTGCAGACATGCAGCCATGGAAAAACTATTACTTTTAAATGGCAGGTAGTTTTTGGTGGGTTTTTTTTACACCAACCAGTGCTGAATCCCTGTAAACTTCTGCCTAGCATTCGATTTTGTATGCTCATGTGCTCTTGTAATTTCCTAACAATTATACCTAGATTTTTTTGTGTGTTGGGGTTTGGTTTTGTTGTTGTTGTTGTGTTTTGGGTTTTTTTGGAGTTGTTTTTGGTTTTGTTTTTTTTCTTTACAAAATGCTCTGGTTTCAGTGGCCAGAGGAAGGTGTAGGGATCTGTTTTCCATTTCAAGAGTCGCATTCCTCTTCACCTGCAGATTCGAACACGAGCCATCTCTGCCAAAACAATGACCTTGGTGAGCCCGCTGCAGCTGCTTCTCTTTGCCTCCAAGAAAGTCCTGTCGAATGGGGAGCTCGTTCTGGTTGATGACTGGTATGGACCTCCTTGGTGCTCATAATATTCAAGTCTATGAAAGAACACAGGCTGAGGGGGGGGCAGCTGCTAACACAGACATAAATCTCTATAGAATAGGAACCCTAGAGCAAGCCATGCACTACAAGTTAATTGTGAAGGCATTACCTTTGTTTCCTGTGAGGAAGGGAGGGGTTTATGTTGGCAGCACTGTTTCATGCAGATTATCTGCTTAAATTGAAAACATGATACCGGGCAGTTTCCATAAAAACTGCCATTGTTTTTCCCCTTTAACTGGAATGTGAATAAGGGGTACTATGTATTTTGGACCTCCTCTTCAAACAGTGGCTGAGGAAACCTTGTTTTTAAGGCTCGGAAACACAGCTTGAGGAGAGAAATGCTGAGGATTTGTTGGTTGCCTCTGACAGCATACATTTTATGGCCATGACCAAATACCATCTAGATGTCTTTCCCCCTCCCCCCACCCTGCCCCGGGTCAGTAAAACAGAGGTAAAGAATTGCTTAAGCTTAAATCACTAGTATTTTTGAGGGTGGCCTAGAGCTTTCAAAATCTTGAGGAGCTGCATGTTTTTAGTTTACTTTATATTTTTGTATCTTTCTTTTTGATGCTAGGGGTTACGTATTGGTGTTATCTGAGTATGTTAAATCTCAAGAGCATATTCAAACAGAAGGTTAGTTATGTTTTAACAATGTCAAATTTTAGGGATCTTGCAAATTTGCCTCCTGAATTTCATGTCCCTTCACTGCCAAATCAGAATTTCAAAGACAAGAATATAGATTTCTGGCTCAGTATGTGCAGCACTCAATGAAAAGCCACTCTACAGAACATTTTTCGTAACAGGTTCTCTCCTAGAAGTCACGATACGTCTAATATACTTCTTTGTGGTCTAGGATCAAGCTGAAGATGCCCCACAATGCAGCTGCCTGCATCACTGCTCTGCGCGCAGCGATGGAGGCTCTTGTTGTGGAAGTGAGTAAAGATCCTGAGATCATTCGGCAGCTGGACCCAGCAAATGAGCGAATGCTGAATGCGATCCGTCAGATCTCCAGGCCGTCAGCTGCAGGCATCAGCCTCATGGCTGCCAGTGCAAGGTTAGCTCGGCTCCGTTGGCTTGTGCAGTCGGAGATCTGGGGTGAGGAGCGCTCACCACCTCTGCCCCCAAGGACACCGAGAGCCTGAATGGAGCAGGTCAGAGCTGTCAGCTCTGCTGCTCCCTCCCTACATGGTGGCTGCAGAAGCCCAGAGTTAAAATCACCAGGAGAGTCTTGTCCCATGTGGACAGGAGCTTCAGGTTTCCGCTTCAAAGTCAATAGTCTGAGTGTATGTAAAATTGCCATGTTCAGAGTCTGATGTAGGTAGATAGATCACTGCCTGTTTCCACAGGAAGGACAAGTGGCTCTCAGGAATAAAAGCTGTTATCGCCTCTTCCAAAACACAATGACTTTTAAAGAAAAGATAATCCAAATTTATTTTGGGCAGACCTATTCATCTTTATCTCTGGAAATAAAACAGATTTTTGGCTGTGCTTGCACGCCTCCATTGCCCCTTGTTTTCCTGTCTTGCTTCCAAAGCAAAGAAAAATGAAAACACCTGTGAGCTGTTAGTAATAAGGAACAAAACAAAGAACAGCTTAGATGTACACTTCACTGTGTTTTGCAGGGAGCAAAATGAAGATCACTGTGCTCACATAAACAGGAATGGAGCTCCCTATGTGTGTGTGTGAGCTGGAGAAGTGGGATTGAGGGGAAAACTTTCTATCCCAGGTGTAGACCTGGCTGAAATTTAGAGGAGGGAGTGTTTATGTGGCAGGTCAGGCCATTCCCAGCCTTCTTCACTGAAGTGGGAAAGGTGCAAAAGTGCAACTGTAATTCAAACATCATATTTTGTTAACAGAAAATAGAGATGTCTTAACTGAATATCTTGGCAATTGGTTATTCCCATAATATTTTAAAAACAATGTAATCTGTAAGATTGTGTCTAGTACATAATGTTTCTCTTTGCCAGGTTTGGAGATGGTCCTCGCCCCCCCAAAATGCCTCGCTATGACAATGGAGGTGGCCTCAGAGGCTGGGGAGGTTACCTGCGTGGCTCTGGCTACAGAGGTAGAGGGTATGGTGGCTACAGCTATTCTGGCAGGCGTTCAGGAGGAAGAGGATACCAAGGTAGCCCGGGGGGAGGCTACGGAGGTGGGGGAACCTATCGAGGAGGAGGGTATCGACGAGCAGGTGGTGGCTACAGAGGAGGCTGTGGGGATCTGGGGAGGGGCGGATGGTAGTTACGGAAGTTCAGTGAAGTCTTTCCGCTTAGACAAAAGCGTGTTTCTCTCCCGAATCCATTTCTTGCTGTTACCAATCTGCCATTTCAGTTCCTTAGTACAAGTACAGCTCTGTAATATATCGTGCCCTTAGGGAATTTATTGCAAGTCGTATGATTTTATTCTTAATAAAGAATTTGTTTTTAAAGACTTACATGCTATACATTTAATTTTGTATTTGGATTTATATTTTGCAGCTGTCTGTTGTTAGTTTTGGTTGTAGGAGTTATAAGGCGTTCTGAGGAAACCTTTTCAGTGTCTAAAACCATTCTCTGCCAAACAAATTTCAAATTACAGCACTTGGCTTCACTGGGGATTTTTCTTTGTTGTCTAACAAACAGTGCAAATAGGCCTTGCTGCAGTGGTTTTCTATCCATGCCAGGCAGCACTTGGTTCCTTTGCAGCCAGCCACTGGCCTACTGCACGCCGTGTTAACACCTCCTGGCACGGCAGCTGAGGAGCTCTTCTGCTGATCCAGATAACGCGGGAACATGGAATACCTTTTTCAAGACTGTTGTGATGCTGCTTGTCTCTGCAGAACCTGAAGCGATGTCAGAAGCACGAACCATAACCTTCATCTGAGGCAGTGTTCATTTACATTGCTACTCCAAAATAGTAATGCTTCATTCTTCCAAATGCGTGTGAGAGAGAGCAATTCTTTAATAAGAATTTATTGAAATTGCAGCCTGTGGATTCCAGACGTTCAAAGCTCAGCTGGCTGCCTGGTGCTTGCAGAAGTATATCAACACAGAGGGGATCAGAAGCGCTCCAGTGAGGTGTGGTTTCCTCCGTACCTCCCAGACGAGTACCTGGGAAGTGCCCTGGAGCAGGGGTGCATGACACGGTGTACCTGCAGGTACAGATTACTCTCCAGGGTTTCTATGCTCAGGCTGTGTTGTGCAGGAACATGTGTGTGAACAAGATGAGAGAAGCGCTCCAGCTTACAATAAATGTGTGTGTATGAATGAGGGTGGGTTTTTTGGCCCAAACTGGTTGGGCTCCCTTGCCTCCTATTGCGTGGCCACAAACCCAGCTGTGCTGGCCTGGGGCAGCAGCAGGCGGGTACTGCAGCTCTTGCGCACACTTTGTGCTGCAGCAGCAGAGGAAGATGCCTGTGGGCACAGCTCGGTATGAATCCTGTTACATTACTGAGTCTGATGAGATTAACCTCCCTGCTAATCCAGCTGGAATGTGTACTCAGAACAGTAATTAGTTGCGCTTACTGGGGTGTGGGAGATGTTGGTGTTTGAGTGAAGTTTAAAGCAAGTCCAAAATTTTTTGTATTTCTAATGAGCTCTTAAAAACTAGGTGAGGGTGAAGCACTGTTCTTTAACCAAAACTGCTAAAAGCCGAATGCCATATGAAGCTTAGATATCCAGCTGTGAATTACACAGCTATCTTTGATATCATCAAGTGCATCAGTATTCATCTCCAAACTTAAATCTGGAATTAATTTGGAGTTTGTATCTTCTTCTGCATCATCTGGTGCAGTAGACTCCACAACCGTTTCTGCTACTGTAGACTTTTCTGTAGATTGAAGAATAGTCACTCTGTGCCACCATTCCTGAAAATGCGATTATTTTTCTTTTCCAGTTTGGGTTCAGGAACAACCTGTTAGGGAATCAGAAGGAATGGACATTGAAAGATGTGCTGTAGTGTTAGCCACCTTCCCTTTCCACATCTGTATTTATTGCATCCAGACAAAACTTGCTTTCCTTGGCTTGCCCCTCAAACATTGCATTATCTCAGTTGTGTTCCTACCACAAAACTGAAAACATGAAGCAGATGTCCAGTAGTTTTAAAGAGAACTATACTTAATAATTTCAGTATCAAGTCTACAAGGTTTCAGTATGATCTAGTATCTGTTAAAGCTTTCTAGCTTCCCCTAGCTGTTACTGGTTTTCAAAAGAAGTCAGCGTTTAAACAGGAGGCAGGAGAGATGGGTGCAAGGTGAGCACAGACCAGAGCTTAAGAGAGGGCCCTACAGCAATAGGCTGTTCAGCACTGCCTCAGTCTGTGTGTGTGCAGAAACGGAACTGGAGATACTGGAAAAAATTCAGATGAACTCTAGTGAGCTGGCCTCCCTTCAGAGAGCAGCCTTGCTGGTGCTTCAGTGGCAGAGTCCTGCTCTCTCTCAGTTAAGGTTTTATTGTTCTTATCAGGTCTTGATGCCTAGTGGGGCCCTTTGCCGCAGTCTGCTTTCAGCTACGTTGTTACCATTAGTTTTTTCCCTGCTTCTAATGTAGAAAGTTTTAGGAGGTGGAATAGGGTACCAGGGACTATCAGGTGTCTGTACAATATTCTATGATACTGGCTAAACCCAGTTTTAATTGAGGGTGCTTTGATGTTAAATCCTAGCTAAAGAAATGCCCTTTTAGAGTGAAGTTGATGTTTTTCAGGTCAATTTACAAAAATTATTCTGATTTTGTAACTGTAAAGCTCTTATCTACTATTACTGGAAAAAGACCATAAAATGTTACCTTAACATTAATGCCCCCCTGGCTGTGATGTGGGGTCTCACTGGTTCTGGTACTAGTACAATGATGAATTTTATAAGTCTCTAAGATGGCTGTGCTTCTTGTGTACAGCTCAACTGCAGAGCCCTGTTCGTTAACAAAAAAAGATATATCTGATTTCATGTTGCTTGTAAGAATTGTTAAAAAAATTAATGGGCGCTTAAGGGTACAGCCAGGTGTAATAACATATGAAATTGTGTAGGTCACATGCTTATGTCGGGAGTTGCTGCCAGGGTGGAGCTTGCAAGGTTACCCAGTCCTGAGGTAACCTCCGCTGTGGCAGGGGAAGGCGATGTGGACTATTTAGCATCTAGAAATTATAGCTTGGTTTTATCTATGTGCTAATGTTTCACATATGAAGGAGTGTCAAGCATGAAAATACTGCTTAACAATATTCAGTCTGGTTTTTAATACGTAATCCATCAGGACCAGTTAAGTGGGAAAGCAGTAATCCTTGCCTACACTTCCCGTGCCAGAAATGAATAGCGCAGTCTAAACAAGGATTGACATGCTAATGAGGAGCTTAAGCAGCATGGGTACAGAAAACTGAAAACCTGAAACGACATGTACGTTTTCACAGTACAAACCGAGCTTGCAATGAGTTTACTGTGTCAGTAAATTGATCTGTGCTTTGTTTCAAAAAGCCAGCTTGCCAGAGTGCTCACATCTCTTGTACAACAAATTTCATTATCTGAAATTCAGGAAGAAAGAGCTACCTGAGCTCCAGTAATTTCATGATCTGTGACGGTCAGGGAAGCCCTAGTGAGCACGGATGCCAGATGCAGCAGCCGCGACACTATTGACTGCTCGTTCTCTGCTGTACCGACCTAAGGTGCGTCAGTTTTGTATCTTGGGCTTTTGATACCGTAGAGCTCTCATGAGGGGGTTCAGAAACAATCATGGGTTTTTCTGGTTTTCCAGTTCCAAGGGAAAAAGGAGAAGAGGAATAGTGACAATAGTGTCAAAACCATAATAGGAAGGATAACACTTGTTAGTTAGTTACTTGAATTTTTAATTTGCTTGTTTTAAAACTTCTCACATAAACAATGCTACCAACAAGTTACAAAGTTGCCATGAAACACACTTTTTATCTTACTTTCTGGACCTGTGCTTGCCTGCCTGATGGCGTGCACCATGCTGCATTAAACAAAACATGAAGGCTGTGCACACAAACTGACGGCTCTGTTTCAAACGCCTGGTGAGCAGAGCACAAACCGCAAAGGCATAGACTGTGTATCTCTGTGCAAGAGAGGTGAGAAACACAGCACGTTTGAAGCTTTTGTCTTTGAGGTGGTACTTGGTCAGGTACAGAGGATGGCTGTGAGTCTTTTATGGCTCTGTTAGAGTAAATATGCAGAAGATTAATCTCCTCTACACAGTAATAGTCAGGCAGCACATCATGTAACATGCTCCAGGGTAAGAACTGAAAAACGTCTCTAGCCGTAGGGAGATTTCCACCGATGGAGAGGAACTCAACAGAACTACGCTATGATCTTTATTTGGAGAACATTTAAAGGAAAACTAAGCAGTCAGTTGTGGCATCAGCATTAATGGTATCCCACTGATCTCAAGACCACCACCTCCAAGGAGGATGGGTCCTTCTCTTGAAAGGAAATCTTTGCGCTTAAGCAGTTTCTTTATAGGAAGACTCTTTCTATGGAGTTATTTAGAAACACTTGTGCTTGATCTGTAAAGCATGCATTAAAAGTGTGCCTGTACTGAATTTGTTCCTAAGAAAACCAACCAAATTAGCATTGCAATTACCTAATGGATCTCTTCTCCTGCCTCCAGATCAAAAATGGGGTGAGGAATGCCAGCCAGAGGAAAGCTAATGTCACAGATACAACTTTATCAGGGCAGGAGGCTCAGCATAGAAGACAGTGATGCTTTACCTGTCTCTGAAAAAGAGATGCGATTAGAGTTTAAAAACAGCAAAAAAGATGAAGAGATAAACAGTTCTCAGCAGAAGCTCACCCAGAGCTTTGACAGGAGAAAGACCTGAAAATGGCTGCCTAAAAGCACTTTCTCGGTTCAAACATTGTCTGTCAAGAGCATGTGGTCTTGCTCTATGCAGCAGAAGGGCACGCTTCACTGGCACACACAAGCTCTGAGATTCACTGACATTTTCTGTCACCTCGTTCCACACCTCCCTCGTCGCCTGTTCTCTAGCCTCCTGGTTCTTTTCTCCTGACACTGCCATGCATTAAGGCATCTTTAAAATAAGCTGAATAAAAAGTCCTCACCAGTAGTTTTGCATGAGGCACTGGTTTTTGAAAGCAAGTTCGGTCTAGAAGGATGAGGAGGTCATTTAAAGAAGCAAGAGATGCTGCCTTAGTGTTAGTGAAGCACATGCATTTTCAGTGTGTCTGTGTCTGGGCAGAAAAGGTGGGGCTAAAAGACTGAAATAGCTTCAATTTATCTGTATTTTTACTGGGAGCTTTGCTTTACCGGTCAGCACAAGCCTTCGTGTGGCAGAAGGGCTTTAACAGGTTGTATTTCAGTGACCGTTCTCCCCTGGAGGTAATGCGTGTTAGAACGGCACACCAGAACTGACGAGCAGCTGAAGGAGTCCCTCTGTATTATTTCCAGGATACTAAAAAGCACAAAAAATGGTCTGGGAACCCAATGCTGTATTTTGCAAGATGCAAGACCATAGGACGGTGTAGGCATCAACCTGAACAAGGAAACATGTGCAAGTGAGTGCAGGCATTTAGATAAACAGTGCTTGCAGGCTTTAAATCTGCAAGGTGTGATTTGCTGAAGCGTGGCTGGAAAGTTTGCTGATGCTAATTTCTTACTAAACTTGTCACCTTATGGGAGCGTTAAATGCAGTGCTGATGTGGATATTCTGATTAAAAAAAAACCAAAACCCAAATCACACCTTTCAAGAGTCATCAGGGAAGAGGACCTGCCTACTTTACAGGTGCTATTACTGCTTAACTTTATGCTGCTTTAAAATATGTATATTTTATGAAACTGATTTTTCACTGAATTCCTGCTATACTGTATTCCAGTTGCACAGTATTTTTTCCCTAGGCAGTAGCTAGCAAATTATACTCTGCTGTTTATTTTCACACTGTTTAATCCTGTGAAAAGCTCTGGTAAATGTACTTTTCCCTACCGTTTGCTAAGAACCATTAATCAGGACTGCTTTTGAGCTGTGGTTCATAAAAACAGAGGTGAATTATAAGAGAACACAACCCTAAGGTCCAATCATAATGTCTCTAGTTAACAGAGATAAGTTTACAGCCTCATATTCTCCTGGGAAAATGACTGCATGGTCTCTACTGTACCAACTTCCTAAAGCTGTGTTCAAATTATCATGTTGCTGGAATGGAGTGTCCACTGAAAAATCTTTCACCCGGACAGGAAAGAGTGAGCACTGCTTCCTGCATTTGCAGAAACTGAAAAAAAAGTAAAAGTAAAGTTTCAAATTTTAAGAGCAATTTAAAAATCTTCTGCCCTGTTCTGTTTCCTGCATTCAGTTGCTTTTGCGAAGAGCTTTTTAGATACCAGGGCTGTATTTTGGAATTCCAAGTTTTCCTCCCACGCTGCTATCGGCAAAGAGACATTCAGAAAGACTGTACTGGAAAATACATAAGAACTGCTTTTTCTTTCCTAGCTACTGTTTTTGTGCACATCTAAGCTCCTGACCTATAGTCGGTGTCTGGTGTGCAATTCCCCACTGTTCCTCTTTCCTTCTACTAAAGGAATTAGTTGCTCAGTGCAGCCAATTGGTTTGGGGTTTTTTGCGGGGGGGGAATAAGAGTTGTCTCAACTGCATCAGTGCACTTTCCAAGGAAAGAAATTGCAAGAAAAATAAAATTCTCAACTCTAGTGAGTGGAAAGAATAATAATGTATTTGTTCATGTAGCTCTGTGCCATCTGCCACTATCACTGTAGTGATGGCCCAAGATTCTCACCTACGGATGGAGAACAGAAAGTTGAAGGTCCAGTTCTGAAAAGATACGCAGTGGGTGGTACCTAGGAGTTCAGGAAGGCTTCCAAGGGAGATGAAAAGATACCTCAAGTGTTGGGGTTTTTTTGGTGATGTTATTTACTGTAAAGCATCTTAGAAGATAATTGCGTTTTCAACTGATTTCCCATTTTCATGCTGCACCATGGATAATTCCAGCACAATAACCATTTTGGTTGGTTATTCCTTTTGTGCTCAGCTGCTCAGATGACCTGCTTGCCACGTCCAAATCCTCAAAATAAACTTTAGCTTCATGAAATGTCAAGGCTCCGGGCTTTGACTCATGTTTGAGAACAAGTGCTGAAGTCTAAACACACTCTTCCAGCATAGCACCTTTATAACATTTGTTTGATGAGCTAATACAGATAGGGCCAAAACTGCTTCGATGGAGTTTGAGTATCATATAATGTAGATCACCATTTCATTGTGGATTTATTGTCATTTTAATTCTATGTTTTTGTACATCAGAACTCTGCTTCATTCCATGCACTGATAAGTGACATTCCTGAAGATGTTTTCTACAAAAATGTTTTCTACATCTGTTTTCTACTTGTCCTCCAATTTTTACCCCTTCACTCTGCAGGCCTGATCAATTCTGGGATTTGGTGGCAAGAAAGAATTTGAGGATCAAGGATGATCCAAACCCTGCATGGTAGGAACTGTATAAGCATGGCCTGCCGGATGCTCTCAGAGCAGAAAACTTTTGTGAGAAACTCCCAGTGATGTCATATTTTCCAAGGCACCATTATAAACTTTAATTTTTTTTAAATCTTCGAGTGACTCAGAAGTCTGGCACTGTCCAAAGTAGGAGCTTTGCTGGTATGATATGAGCATCTGTAGTGGGAGGAAGGGTAGATGTTGATGTTAGGAGTTCTCTTAATCCAACTGAAGATGAATTTAAGGAACCAAGGTGGAAGAAAGAATCCATAAATACCAGGTGCTGATCAGAGCTCAAAAGTCTCAGGACAACTAAAGACCATGGATGTAAAAGTTAGGATTAAAACACAGCACGTTATCTAATACCAGGACATATAGTAAAAAGCAAAAAAATTTTTATTATACTGTGCCAGATACCAAATAGAACATTTTGCCCAGAACATTCTGCCCTACTACCCCTCTTAAAATATAAAATGTTTCTGGTCATGAGTACTTCTGGTACATAACCACTCAAGTCATAATTAAGGAATTTATATGCTCATTTACATGAGAAAAGAGGTTTTTTTTTCCCCAGCACTGCCAGATTTCCCATGTAATTCCAGACAGAAGATTTAATCCAGTTTCACATTACTTGTACATTCTTTATATTCTGTGTACAACATGTAAGGCATCTACACATTAGCCTGTGGATATGCAGGCAGTGAAAACTGCAATTTCAAAATACTTACAAATTGCTAAATAATCTGGAAAACAAGCCCTAGACTATTCAAAGGAAAGAATCTTTTTTTCCCCACTGAACAATTTTTACCTTAATTTTTACCTCTAAAACAGTGACAAAAGCTCTCTGCTCCTCACTAGGAGCGGTGGAATAATACACTCATTAATTTTCATACTGAACCAATGTACTTTCACCTGAAGACTAGTAAGAGATCATGCTGGAAATGTTAAATACACATAGTATTGGATTGAATGTAAACATTTGTTTGTAGTAAAATGGACTAAATGAGGATGGTAATAAATCAGTTTTGCATTCAGTGGGTACCGCTCAGGCTCTGCATTAAACAAAGCAGACATCCAATTAAAAAATGCAATTCTTTTATGGACCCCAGAACCGATGAAACATGGTTTGCTATGGAACTGACTTTAAAGTATGCAAGTCCATGGCATGTAGTTGTCTGCCTGTTTGCACTATTCAAACTCATTGAAAATTAGTGGTGAAGCTCAGCCCTTGAGCCAGTTTTATGAAGTCTGACGTGAATTTCAGAAACACACGGAGAAAAGTGGTGGGCAGGCAATCCCAGGAGCTGCTGCCTTAGGAGGAGGCTCAAAAGTAGCTTGTGGTCATGGCTGTCAAAGACTTCTGCAGTGTGTTAGGGCAGCTGCACAGGCACCCATATTTAGTTGCTAAGTGATTTTAAAATCTTAATCTCATTTATCATAGTATATTTAGAGTGTGAATCTACACACATGCTCTCTTGAGATGCAGTATAGTGCTGTAGCTGCTAATTATTAGCACAGACCAGTCCTTCACCAAACCTTAACTAAGATAGGACTACTAGAGATCTAAATTTTACCTTTTTAGTAGCCCTATAGGAAAATGGCAACATCAGGTGGTTTACTTCTTTGTAATAATGCCATTGCTAATGTTATAAGCCTGAGGCACAATTATGAATTTTTTAATTTACAACCATAGCACTTGTTAACAAAAAGTAATTTTTAGAAGATAAAAAGCAACAAACATACCTTGGAATAGTTCTTTTTACTTTTTTGTGGGTTTTTTTTCTAAATTTTCAGGTAGCTAATGACCGCAAAGTGTTACCAGAGATGTAGGTCCCCCATATCTTCAGCAGTTCACATAGCACAGTATGTTTTCCAGTATTCATCAGCTTCTCTAGTTGCTGGTTCTTCTTTAACGCTACTTTGATAACGAATCAAGTCCAAACACAAGATTTTATATGTTACCAGATGTTTTTTCTAAAAATGGTGACTCACTGCAGCACAAATAGTTCCTCAACCAGAGCTGAGTATTTCTCACAGCTTTTGTCATCATCCCAATCCCTCCAAATGAAGTCAGTGAAGAACGTAAAGGATATCTTCACATTACGGTATGTAAGGGGATACAGCAGCAACAGAGAGCAGGAAAAAGTTGTCTTTTCTTTTTTAACTCACCAAAGTTTGCAGATAATTTTCCTAATATGGAAAGACTCTGAATAATGTAATTAGATGAGTCAAAATTCTGGCATAACTATCATTGGGGGGGGGGGAAGAGGGGAGAGTAGGAAGTACTCCAGGACAATAAAACTTCTCTGTTCTTCTGCAGAATATAATCGGTAGCATACAAAATAAGCAAAACTTTCTTAAAGACAAGAATTTGAGATTAGTAGCATTATTGGATGTTTCAAGCCATCTCCCGAATACATCCCTGCAGAGAGATAAGGCTGAAGGAAATGAGAACATGTAAACACATTGCAAAACCACCTCTGGAAGCAGAAGGAAAGGGGCTACTAAACTCGTAACATGAAAACTAATCACAAGAACAGCAACAGTTTGATTCTGTTCTTAGGAGAAGCCAAGTTAGATTTCTAGTATATCCCTGACTGTGAAACAACATTAGACTTTTAGATATTTATAGACTCATTTAGGTTGGAAAAGACCCTTAAGATCATCGAGTCTAACTGTTAACCTAACACTGCCAAGTCTACCACTAAACCATGTCCCCAGGTGCCACATCTACATGTCTTTTAAATGCCTCCGGGGATGGTGACTCAACCACTTCCCTGGGCAGCCTGTTCCAATGC